TAAAAAAAAAAAAAAAAATTCTCACCACTTTTATTAATTTTCGTTTTCCTCTCTTTTTTGTTTCCTTTTCCACTTTTCTTATAATTTCCACTTTTCCCTCCGGCAGCCTACGGTGCCTACCCATCTTTCCTAATTCCCCCTATTTTTTGTTTCCTTTTCAACTTTTCTTATCATTTTCATTTTCCCTCCCTTTTTCTTCAAAAAGGGCGGCACTGCAGTGAATGGAATGGAATTATCAATTATGGAATCAAATCAATGGATGCATATCAATTAATAATTATTATAGTTTTTATAAAATTTAATTCAAAATTTAATATATATATATATAATTATTATAGATAGTTAATATTTTGGGGGGTATAATTATTATAGTTAATTTAATATATATATATATATATATATATATATATAAATTTGTTATAGTTTTTAGGGGTATAAAATTGTTAAATTAATATATATAATTATTATAGTATTTTTTTTAGGGTTATAAAATTATAAAAATAATATTCTGCTTATCGTGTATACCCGAATTAACCCGTTATCTTAACAGGTGCTTATCGGGTTACCCAATTCGTTATCGTGTCGACTCGAACACTTGTTAATTTCGTGTCGTGTCGTGTCGAGTTATCGGATCGGGTCAGGAATTGTCAAGCCTACCCAGCGTAGAGGCTGATTCGACGGCCGTGCAACAGATGGGAGACAAAAAGTTGCCCACCTAGCGTAAGAGCAAAACTCGGGGTATTTGCAGAGGGTTAGTGATCAACCAGATCACCCGGTTCACTTAGAAGTAGATCCTGGTTGATTACCTCTCGATTCACCATTGACCTTGAGACAAAGTTAACAGTTTGTTAACTCGCCAAAATGGGTGCCATCATCCGCACCAAATGCCTATTATCACTAGGTTTGGGGGGTCCATGCTGAGATAGACAGACAACTTTGGTTAAGTGTACAACTTTCTTAATTTATTAATTTGTTTCCTTGACTTATTTAATGTGGTTTTAAAATAATAAATTTGGGTTTGTTTTTTTTTTTTTTTTTTTTTTTTTTGGGAATTTCAAACCAGCAAGTGGGACATGAAGGACAAGGCTTGTGTCCAGTACATAGACCAGGTGTCTAGAGAGCGGTACATGGAGTGGAAGTACAAGTTGCACTGCTACTAACAAACTTGTGCGTCTCTTGTTACAGCTCCTAACAATTCACCTGATGAGTATGTAGAAATGATGGGCAAGTGGCAGTAGTTGTGCACTCATTTTTAGAGCCAAACTTTCATGTCAGTTTATTTATATTTTAATTTTAGTTCAATTTTTATGTTCTTTTAGTTAAGTTTAATTAATATATTTTAATTTACAGAACAAAATCTATGGTAAATAAAGGTAATCGGGAGAAGAAGTTGTACATTCACCACTTTGGTTCTCGACCTTATCTTACTGGATCGAGGAACGACGAGTGACTGGTTCGCATTTCCTAATGTGGATGTCTGAGGGAAAACATATGCCAGTTATGGTAACAAGGTCGCAAACGACATTTCTGTAAGTATTCATTTCTATGTTTTAATTGTAAATTTTATTACAATAAATAAGGTTAAAATTATGATCCATAATCTATTGGTTTCCTTTCTTTTTCTTTGGTAGGCTTTTATGATGCAAAAGAATGACGTGTACCTCGCCAACTTATCTCACCAGCAATCGGACGTGCATATGGACGAGCTAACACCTGATCCAGAAGTGTCTCTACAGTTGATAATGGACGGGGTTGGGCGACGAAAACGCAAAGAAGTTCATGTCTTAGGAGCGGGTCAGGTTCGGGACCTCGAGGTGTCTTCTTCGTCAATGAGCTCTAATCTTTTGACCGTGACGTCTTCCAGACTTTAGCAAATGAAGATGGAGCTAGCGCGCAAAAGAGAAGAAGTTGAGCGCTAAAGAAAAGAAGCCGCACGCTTGAGAGAAGAACCTGCTCTGAGCAAACAGTTGTTGCGCGTGATCGAAAAGCAGTGTAGGTACATTGCTGGGATAGCCCAAACAATGTTAGCTTCTGGCATTGGCATTCCTGAGCCCCGAGCGAACTTTAGGCACCATTCCCCAGCCACCTCAGCACCCACCCGAGTAGTTAGGTTAATTAGTTTATATAGATATATATATATATATATATATATATAAAATTATACGAACAATTTTATTTTGAATGTAATTAAACAAATTAAAGTTGTCATTAACATTAGCTATTTAAATTCATATAATTAGAGTTAAATAAATTGTTTACTATAATTATTGTTTTAATATCAAGTAAAAAAAAAAAAAGGAAATACATTAGCCCCGCGAATATATTCATCGAGCAATTGTTATTTTATTTTTTAGTTTAGTTTTAAAGTGTTGCCTGGTGAAATTTTCGTTGGGTCAAATTTTTAATAGTATTTAATCTTGTGCGAGGCGATAAAAGAACGTCGTCAGGCAAGATATTTTCGTTGGGTCAAGGCAGTCAACGCATCTTGACCTAATGACCTTTTCATGGGGCAAACTCTCTTTCGCCCAAAGGATTTCTTTTTTCATCGGTAAGGCTTCGAGCGACGGGTTTTGCGTGACCAATCTTTCTCGACGAACTTCCGTCGTCTAAAGTTTTGGGCTGCAAAATCCCTTTTGACCTAAAATTTGTTTTCCATTTGGTAAGTTGTTTTTTTTTTTTTTGTAGTTGAATGAACTTATCAAAAAAACCATAAATTAATAGATTAAGATCATAAACCACAAATTATACAAGTACCAAAACTACAATTCGATAAACATAGGAATCAACTGACTTGTAGAAGCAGTTGAAAAGAAGCTATAACAGACTTCAAAATAGTGCACATGTCCTTGTAGAAATCTAAGATGATGAAGCCATCAATCTTCTATAGCAACCTTCAATGCTCAAATGAACAAAAGCATTTGATTCAATATAGAGCGTGTGTTTGGCGAGAGCAGATGTTTACCAATCTATATATACACGTTCAATCCACTATTCTCTCTTATTAGAATCCAAGTGGAACATTGATATAATTCAAAACCTCTTTCTTTTAGACTTCTTTGCACCACTTTGAATCATAATGACAAGTATAAAATACATTCTCATACTTATACTCTAACATACATTTTCAAAACATCAATATGTAATGTAAGAAGATTAAAATTGCACTGTCCTTTTGAAAACCACCTCAAACTTGCCAAATCTAAACTACATATTAGTGAAACCCTCTTTGTCGACTAAAAGATGGTAAAAATACATTTTTGTCTTCTATCACAACAAAAAAGTTAAAGACAATATGTAATTTCACAAAACAAAATTTTGGTGTTGTTTGTTTAAGCCTCACCTACAGATGATTTTATCTTCTCTAATTTAAAAAATAAAATGAAACCTCTCTCCCTCTCCCCCACTCCCACATTCTCTCCCACTCTCTTCCTCTCTCCTTCAATTTAAAAAACGAAAGTAAAAAATCCAAACACTTTGTGTGTAGACATATACTACAGGGAGGAAGAGTTCGGCTAAGCCACACATTGAGAAACCTAATTTGGTATTGAATTCGCCATCCACGAGATTTGAACCTAAGACCTCTCACTTTCAAGTGAAGAGGAATACCACCAGACCGTAGTACTAAATGACAATTTTGACTTTATTAATATGCACATTTGAGTTCTAACAATTATAAATAAGCTTAAATGACAAAATATTAAAAGAAATAGTGACACATAAGCAAAATATGTAAATATATAAGTGTACATAAATGATTGTACCGAAACTTACTTGTACTGAAATGTCTATACCTAAATGTTTGTATTGAAATGTCTGTACTGAACTATATTATAATAAATATTTGTATTCCCAAATATATTTATAATTAGTTACTATACCTAAATATTTTTTTCCAAAATATATTATACTGAATTAGTGTAGACTTAGAAAAAGTCATGAAATTACAAAAAAAAAAAAAAAAAAAAAAAAAAAAAAGAAAGATAGAATGTAAATGTTGGCACTTAAATAGGGATCAGGATCCTCTCCTAAGCAAATGGTGAGGATCCCCCTGACCAGGCCTATTGAGCCATTTATATTTTATCCAACGACTAGAAACAGGGGGCCTCTCTAAAAGTTATAATAATTGCAGCCGTTGGATAAAATTTGAACGGCTAGATGGGTCTGATCAGGAGGATCATCACCATTTGATTAGGAGAGGATCCTAATCCTTTAAATAGAACCAATAGACTAAACTTAATTTTGAGTCTTGGACAACTTATCTTATATACAAATTAAAATCTGGGTTTCATTTTTTATTTGTGCTTTTTATATCACAAAATCTGGTTTTCTATACATGTAGAATGACATCCGTAGTCCGTGGATGGTAAACAGCAGCGGTTGCCAATTGGACGGCTGACTTTCGACTTCCCACGCGATTCCGTTTTTCCGATTGTCGACCATTTCCTCCAAAAAGACTCTCTTTCCATTCCGTTCTATTTCTGCCACTGCTCAGCCACTAAAAAGTTGAATAAACGAAAGCATACGTTGTTGGTGAGTTTCGTAATTTTGGGACAAAAACAGCGGCTAATGGGTCACTCCACATATACCCTTCAATTAATCAAACGACAACGATGAATGAAGGACATAATAATGCAAACAGAAGCCATTCCCACTCTCTCATGATTATCACCAATCATGTTTCGGAGTCTCAGATCAGTAAATAATTATCAAAAGTAATGTTATATTTATCATTTATTTATATTTTTTTAATATAAATTTAGTCCGTCAATACATATGAACTTCATCGCTATTAAAGAAAAAGTACAAATGATAATACGTACAAATAAATAATAAGAATAGTATTTTTGAATTATTTAAAGAAAAACCTAAATGGAAATCATGTTGAGTGAGAAGAGTGTCAAGAAGACGCGCCAACGGTAGAGCGTGTGTGAATTTGGTACAATAATGCGGAGAGGTGGGGCTAGCTATGTATATAATTCATGTCCGTATTATGAGAGGGGCTTTCCTCTTTTTTTCCAACTTTTGCTTTCGCCCTCTCTCTAGTTTCCTCTCCTCTTTTCTTTTTGTTGATCTCTGACCCAATTGTCTGTCTGTGTGCTATCAACACCCTCACCACCACCACCACCAAGTTTACCATCGAAATCTCAAACAAGATCCCTCTTCTTCTTATTCTTCTTGTTCTTGTACCAGCAGCAGCAGCGAGGGCTAGAGCTAGATCTACTAGTAGTGTAGGGCATGCCAATCAGTGGTAGCTAGCTAGATATATAGGACTCTCTTCTTAATTAGTAACACCAACACCACCGCACAGGATTTCCAAGATACCGACCGAGAGCTGATCATATCATCATATCGTTCGCGATCAATCGAGAATTGAAGATGACTCCAGCTAATCTGGCAGGGCAGTTTGGCGACACGACTTACACCAAGGTGTTTGTTGGAGGGTTGGCATGGGAAACCCAGAAGGAAACCATGAAGAAATACTTTGAACAGTTTGGTGACATCTTGGAGGCCGTTGTTATCACTGATAAGGCCACTGGGAGATCTAAGGGCTACGGATTTGTATGCACTTTCCCTTTCATGTCATGCAATATATTGTATATAGCGTTTTTAGCTAGCTAGTTAGATAGATCTTGAAATAAATGAATGATATCTGCATATATGTATTTTACTATTTTGAATATATATATATATATATATATATATATATATATGTAGGTAACTTTTCGCGAAGCCGAAGCTGCGATGAGAGCTTGTGTGGATGCTGCTCCCGTGATTGATGGGAGGAGGGCTAACTGCAACCTGGCTTCTCTTGGTGTTCAGAGATCCAAGCCTTCAACTCCAAAGCATGTAGTATTCTATTTCTTTGCTTTTATTTTCTTTAGGTTCTCATCCTCATTTTATTTTATCCTTAATTGAAACCTTATTTCTTTATTTTTGGTTAAGGTCTTTTGACTTTTGTGCATGTCATTATTTGAATATTAAATTAATTACATGTCATATGTCAATTTCAAAAATAAAAAACTTATTAATCATTTCCAAATATATCATTTTAGTATTTTCATATATTTCTATTTTTAATTTGTACCATTTTATAAATTTATACCAATATTCTTTTTAGTTTTAATTTGTACCCGTAATTTTAAATTTAATCTATACCTAGTAATTATTTTTTCAAATTTAATAATTACGACAGAACATTATTTTTTTGCTAAAACTATGTGAAGAACAATATATTATACTCTATTTTTTATTTTTATGTCAGTATTATATTTAAAATATTATTTCAATTTGTTAAATTTCATAATTTGTAGAATATTGAATGCATAAGTGCAGTAACCAAATTCCTTAAATGATGCTAGGAACCTTAATCAAACTTTTTAAACAAAATGACCTTATTAATTTCATAAATTCCTTAAATGATGTAGGGACCTTGAAACTTTTAAATTTCATAATTTGTAGAATATTTAAAATACTATTAGATTTACTAAAGACCAAAACCAAAATGACCTTATCAATTTCCTCAATTCCTCATTTCTTCTTTAGTTAATCTCTAATCTGTATAATAAGGGTATCATAGGTTTTATCTTACAAAAGCTTATCTTGCGTTTTCACGTGAACACACATATACATATCTTCTAATTAAGATACCTTAACTGATTATTTATATTACCATTAGTTCTTATATATTAACTCGGTGACGCAGCCAACAGCCTTCAGAGTTTTGGATATTCCTCACTAATTATCATTTATGCTCTCTAGAAAGAGGTTATTGAATATATATATAGATTTGGATTGTGGTCCGAAAAATATTCTTCTTTGAGGAAAATTCTTTTCACAGTGAAATATATGCAATAATGCAATTTAGATATTCCTCCTCAACTAAGGATTAAGTATATTTCTACATTTTTTTTAATTTAGATTGGATCAATATCGAACAAGTCCAATATCTCATGTGTTTTTTGCAAAAATAGTTGGATAATATAAATACAGGCCTTTTATGTAAAGGAATTTCTATTTTTGAAAAAAATGAGAATTAGATGTGGGTTCACTCCACATCAAATTTCAATGATCCGAACTGTCTATTTTGTAAGTCTCAATTCATAGATTATTCTTACAAAAATTCAATTCAATCCAAAACCATTTGCTTATTTAATTATCAAGATCAAATTTCATTGTTTCTTATATAATAAAGTATTTGTTCATTTTTTTGAACCCAATTAGATGTCTTAAATATTTCCAATTTGGCTAATATTTTGTAAGGATGATCTATGATGTACAACTTGAAAAATAGACGGTTCGGATCGTTAAAGTTTAATATGGTGTTGACCCTACAACCAATCCCTATTTTTATAAAAAAATAAGAATCCCTTTTCTTAAAAGCTTTCAATATATATATATATATATATATATATATATATAATTGGTGTCATGCTAGCTCAAATTTACGTAGCTACCATTCTAAAGCAAGATCGACATATTTGGAACCATATTTCCGCCCTCTTCTTAATTTGAAATTGTTTCAAGCATAGATATATATACTCATCCTTTCTTGCAATATTCTTCTTCTTCTGATTATTATTATCATCAGATTAATGTTAATGCAATTTTGTGTATATTATTTTAGAAGAGAAATAATGTTGATACTTGTATATGCAGTACTAGTAGTAGAGATGTCTTTAATTTGTAGAGTGATGTATAATCAAAGTTACCGTCGGAAATATTTAAGAGATTAATTGGGAAATGATGGGCAGGTGGAGGAGGGGGAGGCAGGAGCTTTGGGAGGGTGGGGCCATTCCAAACAGGGTTTGGAGGAGGAGTGGGATCAGCTTTTCCCTCTGCAGCAACCTTCGCTCATTATGCCATCCAACAAGGGATACCTTACAATCTTTATGGGTATGTATGACCATTGACCATTTATTGACCATTTGACCATCTCCATCATCAAATATAATATTGCGTTACCTTACAATCTTTATTTATGGATTACTGGGATTTTTTTGGACGTTCTGAATTACTTATATTATAAATGTTTTAATGGTTAGATTTTTATTTAAAAACATAAAAATTAAGATACAATAGTTAAAATATTCGGAATCATCGGTATTCCGGAGCACTCAATAATTTTTTATGGGTAACTATATATGTATGAGTTGATGATGAAGATGCTTTATATGCTATGCTATATGTTGGATCGTCATCCGTATCTGCTAGCTGTATGAATACGTGTGTGTGTATGGGAAGCAGCACGTGCTTTGCCAACTCATGGACTTCCACCACCCAGCCTCATCAACCTCGCTAAAGTAGGCCTTTTTTTTTTTATGACAAAAATTTGAGGATAAATTAGTTTCTTCTCCCTTATTTTCTTTTTTTTTATTAATTGAAATCTTATTCTTTTTTCATTTTTGATGAAGATCCCTTGACTTTTCTTCATGTCATTATTTAATATTAAATTATTTACAAGTCACTGTATGTCAATTTAAAAATGAAAAATTATTAATCATTTTTAAATATAATATTTTTTAATTTTTTTTTTCTTCATATATTTCTATTTATAATTTGTATCCGTTTTTGAATTTTGTACCAATATTCTTTTTAGATTTAATTTGTACCCATAATTTTGAATTTTAATATGTACCCATATTTTCAATTTAATTTGTACCCATAGTTTTGAATTTTAATATGTACCCATATTTTAAATTTAATTTGTATCAATATATTTTTTCTGAACGTACCCATGCTAATTATATGTGTTTATTTTATGTTTTAAAACATATCAATAGTGATTTCTTGCACTATATTAATAATTACGTGGGTACATTTTTTTTTTGCTAGAACTATGTGAAGAACAAATTACTCTATTATTGATTTTTAAGTAATTGCTATATTTGTAACAATATTATTTGGATTTGTTTAAATTTCATAATTTGTGAGATATTGGATGTATAAATGCATGAGTTAAATCTCTTAAATGATGTTAGGGACCTTGATCAAACTATTTAAACAAATAAGGTTTCATTCTAACAACTAGGTTGATTAGAGACCAGAGCCAAAATGATCATTTTTTTAAAACATTAAAGTAGCCCTACTATATATGTATCAAAATTCTGTAAAAATTCACCAGCACGATCATCTCTCTCTCTCTCTCTCTCTCTCTCTCTCTCTCCACCACATGATCAACATCAAAATTCATTCCCTTTTGGCATGGTTGTGACATTCCCCCACCCCAAAAATACACACTGGCAAATAACACAGTACACAATATATATGCATCGCGCAAGCTTGTGCTTTTACATTTGATCCTCATGCATGCATGCATATATATGACATGCATCTTGTATCAGCAATCTCTCATGGGCGCATTGCATTCGCAACCTTAATTAACCATTCATTGACATGAATTGTTTTTAACATGTATGCATCATGTTTTACACAGCCATGTAAAACGCATAAGTAATTTAATCGAATTTGAATCGATATTTTCTTGTCTAATAGATGCTGACTGACTTATAACTCTTTCCATTTCGATCAGGTACTCTTCGTACTCGCCAGACTACACTTATCCTACGGTTTGTACAAACTTCTCCTTTTTATATTATAATATTTCCTTAATTAATTTGTACTTTCATTTCTTTGCACTTTTTCAAATATTTCCTCTAAAACATTTTACCCACTTGGTTTTCTCGTATTCCCTTTCTTTAATGAAACATTCTACCTTTGCTTCTTTATAGGCATGCACTTTACTCTTCCAACAGCGTCCATATTACGTAGGGAATGTTTTTTTTCAGCCACTCTAAAGTGATAGTGATGCTTATCACTCTATTTATCACTATTAGATAATTTTAAATTTCGAGATTTGTGTAGTAGATAGATACAAATTTTAAAATTTAAACTTGTTCAACAGTGATAAATAGGATGTTAAGCATTATCACCAGTTAAGGGTGGTACGCAAAAAATGCACCTATTACGTAAGGGTAAGAGGAAAGGGGACCAACCAACACATATATGCATTGCATGTCTTGGCAGTTCCATGTATGCAATGCCAAGTTGTGAAAAATAATTTAACTTCTTCAACTATTCCCAACAACCAAACTCTTTTTTTTTTTTTTTTTTTACCTTGATTAATATACGCCCGTGTTCCGGGTTCCAACTTGGTAAGTAGGCTTTCACTATAATCTACACCAAATAGCGCACACAAAGAACAGGAAGGGAAGAAAGTGAAAAACAAGACCAAATATGCAAGTAAAAATGGGGAACTCACATGTACAGACTCCAGTTTCACGAGGCCTCCTGAGTTTAAATACGCAGTTATATTCCTCGCGTTTACCGATAAAATTTATTTTTTTCTTTCTAGATATGTGCTATATATACCTAAGTAATTGTACTTGAATTTAATGTAAGGTAATTATGTATTAAATTAACTAACTCGTATAAGTAAGTGATGATTTGTGTTTTGTGCAATGTGTATATATATTTTGCAGAACTACTATGGTTTGTATGGAGGGGCAGCAGGCCAGTATCCTATGTACGGGACAAGCCCTGCAACTGGGATGGTGGCCGGAGCAGCAGCAGCGGCGGCATTTTACCCCTATCTTTCATATGGATCGGAAGGGAATGGAGGAGCCGCAGCAGGTGCGTATGGTAGCTCAGGTGTGCCGAGCTATGCAACTGGTGTCCAATACCCCCACCAGCAGCAGCAGCAGCAGCTTTTTCAGTATTCGACCATGAACTCAAGTGGAGTTGGAGGCTACCAGCACTATGGTCCTCCCATTTCTCTTGCGCCCTCGCCCGCCTTGCAGTCACCAGGTAATTACGTGAATTTGTTTTTTGTTAGATCGATATGAGAGTAATTTCTTGACTTTTAACTAGTTAATCTTGGTTGAGATGGATGCAGACACTAATATCTTTGACAGTGTGTTTTGCTGTGCCACAGGCGTAACCGTGGCCCTTCCTGCACCAATTCCTCATCGCTAGTTCATCCGAAAGTGCGTGCGTGCATGCATGGCTTCAATTTATTTGAAACTCGATTCCACCCTCATCGGCTGCAAATGCTTCTGAGTTTTCAGCAACCTCTGGCCTAACCATGGTTCACTTCTCCATCTCTTTCTCTCTCTCGCTGTCTAACACACAATTAATTAGCCCAAGCAATTGGCATTTGAGCTAATTAATTTGCACACATACAAAGTCTCCCAAAGGGGCTACATGAAATCATTCCATCTCCACAATTGGCTGGGGTACGTAGGTACGTGCATCTCATGCATACTCATGCATTTCATTTTCCCCTTGAAGAGTTCCTTTGAAGAGGAACTAAAGCATCCCTTTAAACACCAACTCAGGCTACTGGGTTTTAGCCAAGTTGGAAAATAGTTTTCGTTGTTTCCCTTAAAATTCTTAGCCCTGGAGAGGCTGAGGCAACAAAAGAAAAATGTTACTTTTGGCCCAGGAAGGCTAAAGAAATGCATAAAATGGCTTGCGAATATTGTAAATTCAAAACAAATAGCAAGCCCCTCACTTTTGAAAATTTTCAATCCAAAAATGTTTAATCCCTCAATCTTCAGCTAATCAATCACCTCAAACAAAAAGAGGCGCACAGTTTTGGGGAAAAAAAACATTGGCATGGAATGCCCCAGTTGTTTTGGCTGTTAGCAACTATTCTTAGGATTTTGAAACTAGCTAGGACCAGTGATGTTTCTATAAAGCTTTACCTAGTTTTTGTCAACTTTCACATAATATGTGTCTAACCAACCAACGTTGGATCTTTTTTCCTTTAGGGTAAAGGGAAGAAAATCACTAATTCTTGTTCGTTTCTTGTAAATTCATCAAGTGTGGCTAAACTATTGGAGTTTTAGCCCCATTTTCACTAATTTAATTTTAGGAGGGATAGTTTTTAGCATTAGCTTTTAGCTATAGCTGGTACAAATCTCATCATCCTTTTGAGCGCTCCACTAATGGGTGTGGAGTTCAAAAGCATCTGCATGTAATCCTCGGGAGATATTTTTGGTTCCCTTGGGTTCTTCTCCACTAACGCACCAACCATGGTTAGGACTTAGGGCTTCCTCACTCTTCTCCCTCTCTCTCTCTCTCTCTCTCTCTCTCATGTTCATCTACTACTTGGAAATGGACCTTGATACCCTTTTAAATATGTGTAAGTCTATGCTTTGGATTGTAATTAGGGATCCTATTAAGGACAGTTAAGATTCGTTCTCCATCACTGCTGGTTGAGAATGGATATGGTACTCACTACTATGCTTTAAATTGAGACTTTCATGTTTAATATTCTGATGATGATATTAATTGAGACTTTTAATTGCTTAATTCTTCTGAAGTTCAAAATTTTGGCAGTCAACAGAGGAAATATTGTAACTTTCTCAAAATTAATTAAACATGACCATCAATACCGTGAATTGATGGTAGTGCATACAATAAAACTGAAAGATTTACCAATCCTTTCTTAACACGTATTGCGACAATCTGTATATTACAATATTATTTATATTTATACCTACATATTTGAATATGTTTACTTGGCATGCTGACATTAATCCCTGATGGGTTTTTTTTTCCTTGTTCAAAACTACGGTCTGGTGGTTTTCCTCTTCAATTAGAAATGAGAGGTTTTAGGTTCGAATCTTATGAATGACGAATTCGATACTAAATTAGGCTGTCGATTGTGTGATTTAACCGAATTATTCATATTTTTAGTACAAAAATATCGATATACTAAAAAAAGAAAAAGAAAAAAAAAGTAACAATAGACAATAAACTAATTTTAACTTCAATACACCAATAGTCATGTCATAGTTGTTATAAAAAACACGGAATGATTTGCCAGCTTGATAAAAGCAAGTTGTTGATAGCCATTCTCAGTCGCTCCAAATTTAATTTAAGATAGAAATCATGAAAAGATATAAATATACATATATATATATATGTGTGTATAGGAAGAGAGTGAGAGAGAACCGTGGAAATGTGAGGCTTAAACAAAAAATAGTAAAATTTTGATTTGTAACATTACGTTAGCGTCCTTAATTTTTTTTTTGTTGTGATAAAAGAAAAAATATTTTTTTACCCTCTTTTAGTTGACAAATAGAGTTTCATTAATATGTAATTTAAGTAAGACTAGAAATTTATGTCCGTGCGTTACTGTGGGATAATTGAAAATTATATAAAAGATTAATTTGAACGATATAAAAGATTGTGCTACAAAATAAAAGCTCATACGGATGCAAATCCTACCTTAGATTTTCCTTTTATTTTCAGTTTTATCAAGCATAGCAAAATTATCACATCCCAGCCCGGAGGTATCGGCCAGCATAACTCGATTTGGAGTCCTAATGAACATATCGAGTCTCTCTCTCTCTCTCCCTTTATCTCGGCATATCATAAGATTTCAATGAGTCATAAATATTGTATATAAGTGTTAAAATAAGAGACTGAATGTGTTATAGCAATGTCCGTGAAGAAGTAAAAACAAATTAAGACACAGATACAATTACATAGGACTTGGTAGTAAATCCAAAATTTAATTGGAGGCTCTACATAAAAAAATATATAATATATTAATATGGACATACCATTCTGAATATTCTGTGAGATCTACTAATCTGAGTATATGAATACATACGTTTCTCCAAAGTGCCTATTAACTGTAAGAAACATTTTTGCAGGTGCATGTAAGAACAAATATTCAAGTAAAATGCATAGCGGAACAAAAAAATACCCAAAAACTCAAGTTTTGGTTTCCAAGTGAAAACCTTCTCCATTTCCATGAGCTTCAGCACCTGTTCAACATTAATAATGATTTCCTCCCTGAGGCCATCAACAACGCCACACTGCACACGAAAAAATCAATAAACTTAGGTCTAGTTTGGTACTGAGGTGATTCTAAAAAAAGTTGGTATAAAAAAAAGCTAGGAGCTATTTTTGTGTTTGGTAAACATTCAGCTTCAGCTTTTTTTTCACAGTTTTAGTTGAAAAAAAGCCAAAAACAAGAAGCTGCAAAACTCAGCTTTGAAAAATCAGCTTTTTTTCACATCTGTTTTACATAAAAGTTTACCAAACACTATAATACTGTTTTTTTTTTTTCAAAAGCACTTTTACAAAAAAAGTTTACCAAACACTCTGCTGCTTTATTTCATAGCTGCTTATTCTCACAACACAGCAGAAGTAGCTTTTTTTCAAAGCACAGCAATACCAAACCAACCCTTAGTTCACTTAAAAGAAGCTGATTTGTGAGAAGGGTCAGTAGCCAACTAATGAACATAGAGCTCTGTAATATAATCATGTTCTGAATTAACAGCCAACTCACCTACTTTTATAACAAATATAAAACAGCATCAGGTACTATCGCATTCATTAGTTCTATAATTTTCTTATTGTTGTAAAAATTAACGGTGTGTGCAATGAAATAAATGGAATAAGACACAAAATTTATGAGGTTTCTCTACAGTCAGTGTGACTGGAGTACATCATTAGGGTAGCAGTGGTGCTTTCATTTATAATCTGGAATAATAAGAGTACAAAAATAATTCTCTCTATTCTCTCCTCTCTTCTTCATCTCTCTTTTCTCTTCCTCTCTCTTCCTATCTTTGCCGTGAGTCTCTCTTTTTGGCGTTGTGTGGGGTTTGTAATTATATAGAAAATAGGAGTCGTAGGAAGCAAGCTTCAACTTACAGTGGAAGGGTAACTTGCCCATTATTTAATTATTTGAGTGGACATCCATTGTTCTACAACACTCCCCATTGGATGGCCACAAGTCTTCGATTGACTTGTTAAAATCTTGATCTGTTTTTGGATGCTCCTCCTGATGAGTAGTACCATATCTGTTGTGCTTGTTGACTTTCCACATGCTTGTTCTTGAACTGGGCTGGATGGCCTTCTGGTTTCTTCCAAAGGTCTGAATTTACTTCATTTATCTAGAGCTAAATTTGAGTCGAGGGTGGTGGACACTTGATCTTGAATCAGACTTGTGATTTCTTCAAGGGCCGTCGAGACTTGATCTTGAATGAAATTTGACCATGATGAGCTTCACGTGGCAAGTGATCTTCCGCTTTGCTGGGGATGAATCAGCATGTGTTTGTTGCGCTTGTCTCCACATGCTTCAATGTATCATTTTTGCTTGCCTTATTTGTTCCCTTTGTAGAAGTGGTATTTTCCCTGGTTTTCCCCCATGCATGTGTGGCATCTTCTCTTATAGTATTTGTTCACTGATGCAGTAGCGGAATGCAAACCTTGCGTTTGAATGGTCCTTCAAAACATCACTTCTCAGTGACTCATCATGCTTAGCAGCTTTAGTGTAAATAACCAACATCATATCAACAGTTGAAAATGAGTACTTGAGAGCAATGCAAGATAAGCAACCAGGCAAAGATTCCAGGCAATCAATTCCAGATCGGAAGGTTGATTCCAAGTGCCGGCTGATTGCTTTCTTTCTCCTTATCCTGCAGGTGAGAACAAGGACAAAGAAAATGACAGTGAGACAACATGATATGAGATACTCTTGCTTTTGACCCTAATGATATGAGATACTCTTGCTATGGTGTGACTTGTTTGAAGAAGTATTCTTGGAGAGGAAGAAATCTAAGTATTTCGAGATGCTTTGTTGAAGATGCATTCTCAGAGATGAGGAAGAGTTAGGTATTCTTGCAGGTCTACCTTGTTATGGAGCACAGAGGTCGACATATATAGGGATTTCCCAATAGCAGGTAGTGGTGTTGTACCTTTACTCTTGTCAGCAATTGTGGTGTAATTAGAACAGTAAGATTTACGTGTTTTCAACTTTGTCAGAGATATTTGACAAAGTTGCACGTGATATTCGAAAGACTGAGATTGTGTTTGAAAAGTACCAACAAACTTTATTTAGGAAAATCTGGCTTTTAAAATTCAGAGAGCGGTGTCTCTTCGATCTCTAAACAAGTGGCTCTATTGCCTCTTCTTTTATAGAGACATCAATTGTGTTCAAGAGTATGCTCAGAAAGTTGTTGCCCGTAGAAATTTTCCCCTTCTTGCACTTCTGAGATTTTATTTGACCTCATTTTTCTTTCATCATTTCTAAAAATGGCTTGCCCATCTTATATTTGCTTAGATTTGAGTCTTAGGAGTGATATAAACGAATCGCGTTAGGATAATATATGGCGCCTTTCCTTCTTATCTTCTAATGGTCATCTGACGGTTGGGGACTCTGTGATGAAGAATAACATAACCACTACAGTGGTAGCTAGGAATCTTCTCACTTCAAAACATAACAGAATCTTTTCAAAACGGTATGATGAGTCAACTGTTCAAGACTCATTGGCTCTCAGTGTTCAATGTGCAGGCTCTGTATCCAATATGGGCCAACGCCTACTTGCTCAAACTCGCCAAGTTGAATCATTGATGGCTGAGGTGGCAAGTCTTAAACAAGAGATCAGATGGCTCAAGCACAAGAGTAGAAACTTACACGTGCTTGCAAATACTTACTCAACGAACATGAAAAGAAAGCTTGACCAGCTGATGAAATCTGAAAGTTGGATTCAAAGTGATCACAAGAGGTTCGTTGCTAGATTCCGAAGGCAACTGATGCCTTCCCCTTTTGATGTTTTGCCAAGTACTGG